GGGTGATAATCCACACCAATTGGTAACAAAGTTTACATACCAAGAATGTAAATTTGGAAAATACATTTTACAACAGAAATGTACAATAGAATGTAGTTATAATGAATATTATAAGTAAATATTTTCGACATCAAACAGTATTCCTCGATTGATGTACAACTCAATGGATTTTCAACTTTATTTGTGGTGTCTAATAGTTCTGTCTCCTTAACTTTTCTTTGAANTAGAGATGGCATTAATAGACTGGAACACCGCTATGAGAAATGTATCAGCCTTGGAGGAGATTATTTGAGAAATAAAAAAAAAAAAATTTTTAAAAACCTTGTTTTTCTTGGTCAGGCCGGAAACTTATCAATCCACCCTCGTATATCAGCACATAACCTTATCAGAACCAAGTTGTGTATAACGTTCCAGGCAATCCATTTCCATGCAAACTACGTAAAGTGTGGAGCTATATTATTGAAGAAGGAATAACATTTAAATGAGAATACTAAATCATTTGCAAATGTCTAGCGTATTCTTAAAGACGGTGTAACAATACCAAAAGCAGTGCAACACTGATAGCCAATATACACCTTCTATCCTTGATAATATCAGTTTGCAGAGTGCCGGTGGTGTGTCAGGAAATTTGTTTTCACATCTTACATGTAGTTTCTGATATCTATGTCTCGTTCCACCTCTTTTGTAGTTAGACCTTTCGCAATACAAGGAATCCTTAAGTCGGGGTTAGATGTTTTAAATAAAATTAGCATAGCAATAATTAAAAGATTATAAATAATTGGTTAAAAACAGCTGTAATGAATTGATCATTCTCAAAATAAATATTAAACTACCTTGCACTGTTATGAAATATTGAGCTACATGTTATATAATGGCTCTGCTCTATATTATGTTGCAACGTAGCATTGCGACGGTTCTAGTAGTTACGTTTGTTGTACCTAGCGTCAAGCATATTTTTTGTTATTTTGACAATATCTACGTACGAGTTAGATGTCGTGTGTTTTTCCATTTTGGCTTTAGAAAAGTATGCTTTTCTTCCAGTTCTATATTTAGTTTGTGTAGTAAAACTTATCATGTCATCAGTAGTCTTTATTAATGATATTTAAATAACTATTTTGAGAAAACAGTGCCAAAAATTCATTTATGCGTCGTACTGATTCTAGCTCACGCCAATTTAATCTTGTATGACTAGTTATTAATTTTAATTTGATGATGAAATAAAGCGTTGTAAATGTCAAAAATTAGTTTATTTAAATAAGAACTTACAGCTAGGATTATTATTGGTCCCAGAACTAAGAAGTAACTTAACTTCTTTTCGACACAACATTTGGCATTTATAAAGTTTAACAAGAGTACGTTGGATAAGAGGGCGACGATGAGAAAACTAGTCCCTAAATATTTATCGCAAATACCGATTACTTGAACCTTCAAATTCTGATAACTCTGTGAGAGGTAACAACTAGCATTGTGGGTGATAATCCACACCAATTGGTAACAAAGTTTACATACCAAGAATGTAAATTTGGAAAATACATTTTACAACAGAAATGTACAATAGAATGTAGTTATAATGAATATTATAAGTAAATATTTTCGACATCAAACAGTATTCCTCGATTGATGTACAACTCAATGGATTTTCAACTTTATTTGTGGTGTCTAATAGTTCTGTCTCCTTAACTTTTCTTTGAAGAAGTTTTATGCGAGTCTAATTTTCTGGCAATTTAGTTAAATTTGATTTACTAATACCTGACATTACGTTTATGTTTAAATAGTAGTTGTCGTAACCGTATTGTTACGTACATAATAATGAATACATTATGTTGTCTAAAGTCGTTAGTCAATTTGTATCAGAAACGTTTATTGATATAAGTAGATAAACTATTATGTTATAGTACACACAAAAGATAGAATATTTTCCACCTTATACCCCGGTTATGGGGTAGAAGTCGTTTGTTCATGTAACATAATATACCTAATAATTAAATACAACATTCTGAGAACTGGAGCGAGCAACGTCTTCTATTTGTTGTCGTTCAAATGCAGGGCAGAGCGACACCCCTTAGCCTGATAATTAATTGGTCGCCGGTCACCCTGAAATCTGTACTCCCTTTACATTTGTTTAAGGTCTACCACGTTACCCTTCTCCGCGTCCTCATGTAGTTATACAATTTCTTACTGCATAAAAAAATCGGAATTAGCTTGGACAGTTAAATTTAAGTTTACTATTTGAACCTGCAACTAATTTCTGTTTTCTTTTTATAAATAATATTTACAAAATATTATTATTTCACTTCATTAAACCCACTTTTAGTCCTATAATAGAGTAATCATACAATCTTCCACTTAGTGCCTAGCATTTCTTGACTTTGTCTCAGTCTGTTTCAATTTGGCTATTTCGATTAATACTTTGATATTTACTTCATATTTTCACCAGTTTGGCGTTTCTTCAACTTGTTTAAAACATTCGAATTTAACTAAATTATTTCCACTTTGGAAACTAACCACTTTGGTATTTAAGTAACTTATTTCCACTTATATCCGAAAAATAATTCAAACGGACTCTTTCCCGTACTTTCATTTATTGAAAAGTTTAATCCTTAGGAAATCTTATGCATTAATTGGTCTCATTTTTGCTTGTTATCGACTGAGGTTGCGATGCAAGAAAGAATTGTTTAATTGAACCGCTCAGCATGACCATTTGCCTTCGGCGTCACAGTGACATTAAGAATAACTTATACCTTAATTATAGTAACAGTTTAATAAATTTTTATTAGTATAACAAGTTCCCTTATCAAAAACTATTCTTGTTGGATTTCCAAATGTATTCACAATATTTACTACAAACTTTATTAGTGATCGTACATTAGTTGGCTGAACCGCTTGTAAAAATACAAATTTTGTAAAACTATCAACAGCTACAATCAAATCGAATGAGTTGGGTGGGCACTCGCGCTAAAGAAACGAAATTAGGAATGAGAGGAAGTGAAGCAGTTCAGACTAGAATGTGGCAGGGCCTTCTGAAACGGTCGTTTCGTTTAGGGGCGAAGTCGGCAAGTGTCGAGATGGACGGGTTTAGATGACCTGACACTGAGGCTGAGATTATCCGCGAACTAAACTGCAGCCTTAGGATGTGAAGGTAGATCAGTTTTTTTCAGAATTTGCATGTTCCTGATAAACCAGGGATAGTTGAGTGCGGAACGTAGAATCTGCATGTAAGTGCCTTGAAGAATGTGTAGGCGGTGGGAATCGGCACTGCCCTAAATGAGGATGGCGTAGAAGCAAATGCTTCTGATAATTGCGTTGAACGCACGAATTTTAATTTGATGGGAGATGGAGCTGTATTGGACGAAGGGCTTGAGGGAGATAAAGGCAGTTAGGGCCTTGGCACGGGTGGAAAGGATGTTCTTTCGCCATGTCAGTGTCTTGTCGAAGACGACGCTTTGGTAAGTAACGGTACTTGCTCCATTTGGTGTGGGAGTTGCTAACGGTAATGGCGGGAGGTTTTCGGGTCCTACGGGAGAAGAAAATTGCTTCCGATTTGGCCTCGTTAATGGTGAGTTTCCATCTTCTGTACCAATTTAGTAGCAGGGGCAGAAACTTGTTAATTTTTGCGGAGCACTGGAGAATGGTTTTGACGAAGTTCATGAAGGCGATGTCATCGGCGTGAAGAACTGTGACAATCGAAGTGTTGGACGGCATGTCTGCCAGAAAAGGTTGAATAGAAGAGGGGACATCTTTGAACCCTGGGGGACACCAGCCGTTACGGGTTTGCTTGCGAATATAAAAGAGAGCCAACGCGGACACGGACAGTTCTGTCAGAGTGGAAGGAACGGAAAACCCCTATTAGAAAATGTGGAGTGTTGAGGGCGATAAATTTGGTGATGAGACCTTCGTGCTAAACTCGATCGACTGCTTGCTCAAACAGAAGCAAAGTAGTGCAACGGCGCTTATTTAGGGTGTCAGAGATGTGTTCGAAAAGACGGAAAAGTTGATGGCCGGTGCCGTGCTGTCTGCGGAAACCGTGTTGAAAGTCGGGGAGTAGATTTTTTCTCTACACGTGGTCAAGAAGCCGGTCCAAATGGATGGACTGAACTACCTTGCTCAGTGAACTGAGCCGGCTAATAGGCCTGTAGTTTGAGAGAGAGCCGAGAGGTTTCCCTATTTTGTGGGGAGACAGATGACGGTGGCTTCTTTCCAGACCGGAGGAAAATGGTGGAGCCGCATGATAGTCTGTGATGTTGCAGAGTGCGGTTTTGTGTTTTGATGGTAGAACTTTTAGGATACCGTTGGGAATACCGTCCGCGTCGGGGGATTTTCTCTTTTTCGTAGATCGGATGGTGAGGATGATTTCACGGGGGGATGTGTGTTTAAAGTCGAAAATAGTTGGGACGAAGTTTTAGGAGGCGATATTGGTTCGCTCGTCGACAGGGCCGGGGAAGTGGAGAGCACTGGAAACAGAGAAAGTCTGCGAAAATTGCAGCTTTTTCCTCATCTGAAGTGAATACGGAGCCGCTTTGTTTTAGCGGCGGGTGGTGCTGGACTTTGTTTTGAAGAGAGCGGATCATTTCCTAAGTGCTTTTGGGATGTATTTCGGCCTAGGTGCGGTGTGCGGGCACACGGTGTTTTTGCCACAGATGGCGGTTTTGTTTTTCCTCTTGATGATGGTAAAAATATCTGCGGGGAGGTGTTTCTCTCGGGGAGGAGGAGGGGCGGAAGGTCGTGAAGAGCTCCATTGCACTGGTAATCTCGTTTGATCGCAGATTGATAGTTTTATCGGGTTTTTGCTTTTGTGCGAAGTGAAGTACACTTGATGGAAGATGTTTCGATGGTGTAGCGAAACGGTGGGATCAACAGAAAAAGTGACATTCTTTAAGACGAAAATTTCATGAACGTCAGGAAGTTGATTGTTGAGGGCGGGGAGGTACGTAGAATCTGGGTGCGCTTCAACGCCAAAGTTGAGGTCTAGAACTTTGACAAGAAGGGAAATGCCTTTCTTGTTAGTGTGTTAGCAGCCCCAGGGAGCGTTTGGCATTGAGATTGCCTGCGGCGATCACCGGGACGTTCGGGGGGAGGATGGGCCCATCTGAAAGATTTAGTTCCGATAGGAGGGAGTGAGGGGGCCGGAAGTTAGGAAAACTTCAATGCGAACTGTTTCTAATATTAGTGACAAAAGAGATGGGCCTGTGTTTTAAAGAGTTTCTGGCGAGAATAGTTAAGCCACCGCTCGGGTGTTTTCACCGTGCCTGCTATAGGATGTGAAGTTTGGGACTAAAATTTGACTTTCTACGATAAGTGAGTTTCGGTGATGTAGGCAACATCGATTGACTGTACCTCGAGGAAGTGTTCGAGTTCAGTTAATTTACTTCTCATGCTTTGAGCATGCCAAGTAATTATTCAGTCATTATTTGGGTGGACGTTTTTATGAATGGGTGGGTGTTTGGAGGGCGGCAACCATGCTGACCATAATTTAGTTATTAAAATATTTTCGGTATGTTCACATTGAACATCTTCAATACATAATTCATCTCGTACAGTTAGCTGTTTTGATTTATAACAAATAGGCAGGTCAAACATATTAACAACTGATATGAATCCAAACTTAGCGGATGTGATGTATCCTTACAATGCATGCTCCTACAGACATATATTTTTCTTATCTTGCTCGAAATATAAACACTTCCAGCATACGCATACACACAACAAGAGGTAAAGTCAGAATGTCAGAGTTTATACTTTCGAACAAGAATAAATATGCCTCGGTTTTGGGGTAGAAGTCGTTTTCTCTTGTAACATAACAACATTCTAAGAACAGGATCGGGCAACGTCTTTCATCGGTTGTCGTTCGAATGCAAGACAGAGTGACACCCTTTAGGCTGATAATTACGAGTCGTCGGCTGCCCTGAAATTTGCAGTCGCCTTGCAATTGTTTACAATTGGTTCCCGACGGCTGTTGAGTATGGCTGGAGACAAGGGCCGGCAGATGATCGACAACCTTTATACTAGAGACGTGGAGGGCAATAGATCATACTCTGAATTTTCGAGAAGGATGGAGATTGTTCGGAAGAATTCGATGGTAGTATAAACAGGCCTCCGGATGTTAGCCGGAGTTAGTATATGAATAGCTGATCAGCAGTATACATAAAAGATGTGAGGCGAACAGCAAGTGGTATAAATAAATAGACAAGAACAAGAGAATTATAAATACTGTCTGACATAAATAAGAAGTATTTTAAATATCTAAATAGTCTTACGTTTAAATAAATAACTAATATAAACAGACGAGAAATAAATACAATAAATACAAGAAAAATTCCTTACAGTATACCTTATTGGTTTGCTAACCGTAATCGCAATCGCACAGCAGCCTGCGCACAGCACAGCCAAAGAAGGGATCAAAAACGTTGTCTTAAATTGAACAATTTAAACCACAGTTGGTCCAGATTCATTTCACTATTAGCAAAGGTGCAAGAATATTTAGTCAGATCTCTACTGTCCACAGCAGCAACAAAAACCACGACTACATTAACGATAGCTGCTAAACCTTGACCCAAATACTAATGTATTTGTTTTACATCTATTCTCAAACCGTTTAATGAAGCGTATAATTAGAAACCCTTATACTGCTCCCTCACAATAAGTTGCAGTAAACTCTTTCAAATTAAAAATAATGCTAGCAGGTGGCATCCAAAAACAAAGATTGCTGTGTTAACATCTTTGGAGCACAACAATAAAAGAAATTGAAAAATATGGACAATCATTTAAAGACAACGTAGGAAGTATTTCGGGAATGATTTTTTATTATGACAATTTCCTTTTAGTGTGAGAACTGTAAGAATAAAAAGTATCGATTCAGTAGTTAAGCTTTAAAATAGAAGATTACCTGTTGTGAATATGTTTAAGTAGGTACTGAAAGTCTACTTTAATTTTTCCTTAATATCGTTAAAAATGTTCCTTCTCAGGAAATTAACAGTAGGTGTATCGTTTTATAGATAATATTGAAGAAATCAGACAAGGCCGTTTTCCCATCTAGATTATTGTCGCTAGTTTCAAGCGTAGCTGTAAACTTTAGTTATGGGTAGCTGATTGTTTACAGCTGACGATTTACAAATGATGAAATGTCTAGGGAAATGCTCCGATAAAGAATAACAAAAAGTTGGAGAGATTAATAGTACTAATTTTTTTAAAAATGATGGTGAAATGAAGGCAAGATTTTGTTTTTCATTCCTTAATTAAAATTCATGTTAATTATGTCCTTTTGTAATTTGGTAGTAGCAACAAAATTTAATCTTTTCGTCATTTGAAAACCCAAAAGTACAGACGAGCAAACGAAACCTAACAAAATTATTATTAAAACAAAATTATTGATTATCTCTCGTCATTCTTTGGGAAAACATCGTTAGAAAAACTTACTCAGAGCCGCCACTGATAGAAGTAGGTTCTTTTACGCAGCACAGAGAAAGTGTAAAAAAGGGTCATCGACGTTCGTCAAGCGAAAAATCCGCTATTTACTGAACGACGAAGACTTTCACGAAGAAGGCACGGAAATGAGAAGAAAAACAAATGTGCCGTTAACTAAGCAGCTTTAGCGTAGACTGTTGAGACATCGTTTTCGTAAAAGGCGTTAAACGGGTCCGATCTAATTAGGACTTTTCCATTTTGTGGCCCTGTCGCTCCTTTGGGAACAGTATACGAAATAAGCAAAATTTCTGTTCTAGAGTATCGTATCGGTGTCATAATTTGAAACCATAAAACGTTGTAAGAATAAATGACGTAAAAATATTTGTGTTTAATGTTTACAATTTATCATGCTTATTATATAAATATTGGTGAATTTATATCTAGTTAAAAAAAATTTGTAGAAAAATTAAAACGAAGGTATCTGCCAAGTATCTTTGAATTTATTTGCAAACTCGTGTCGATGTAGAGAGTAATAACTTATCTACAGTACATAGTAGATGTCACGGCGGCAATTTAAAATTGTTGGACGCGATTGGACAGTTTCGTAGGCCACATTGTCGATTTGATTGGTTCTTTCAAATTTGATATGATAGACGTCTGCCCCGTGACCCGTTTGCATGTAGTAAAAAACGATGATTCGTTTAACTTGCAATATTTGAGCGATTCGAACCGTGCGTGGTATACACATACAGTGTTTGTTCAAATGGTTTTTTGTTATCTATTTTAACTTTAATATAAAAATAAATAAATTAATTNAAACAGTCCCTGTAGCGTTGCAACAATGAAATCAAAGCTTCCCTATGTTCGGCGTTCACAGGACCGATATTTATTTCCTCAATTGATAACAATGGAAGATCTTCAATTCTCATACGCAGTACCATTTCGTTTGGAGAAGTCTGAGCTGGAGCAGAAAGCCAAGCCCTAGCTATAGGTTTCTTGTTTCCTAATTGAATATCAAAGTCAGATAAATTGATCACTGGTATAACAGATTCTCCATTAGGTTGAATATTAATAATTGCTCTTGGAATACAATGCTCTGTGCCTCTTTCTAGTCTAAAACTTGACTCCACAAAATAATCGCCGCTAATTTCACTACCTCTTGCTTCAACCACAACATTTACCACATGTTCTTTAGGAATGAAAACTGTGCTTTTAGCAAACAATTCAATTTTTTGATTTCTAGGAAAAACATTCCCGATATTGTTAATATCACCCTCCGTTATAATTAACTGTTTGTTATCTTTGACCACCACAACACCTGGAAGTTCAGTAAATGGGTGCCCTACTAAAATAGGCACTTCTAATATAAAGTTAGGTACGACGTGAGCGCACACTTCCGCTTTAACACTATCTATACTTAATAAAAATTTTGTTGTTCCTAATGCTACACATGTTCCGTTTCCAAAACCCTTAATCACTATTTGTTTAGTAGTATTGTAACTTAAACCTAACCTTTGACCTTCACTTAATTTAATAACTATACAGCTACTTCCAAAATCTATATATGCTTTAGATGATTGATCATTAACAGTTACGTCCTTAAAATATTTTGCATTTGGTGAAAAAGAGTGATCGTCGTCCTTGTTGACGCCTAGTCATGCTATAGATTTCACTTCCTCTCCCCTCTTCCTTTTTTTTATACGACATTCATTCTCCAAATGCCCGGTATTACGACAATAGTCGCATCGTTTTTGTTGGCAATCTTTGAACCGATGTCCGGATTTTCCGCATTTAAAGCATTTTGATGCATAGTCTTCGTTTTGTCGGCCATCTCTTTTTCCTCCTGACTGCAACCGCCGATCATTTTTATAAGTAGGTTTAGCTATCGGTCTGCTTGTTGAAGGTCGTAGGTCATGCAAGGTACTCAAATAAAGGTGAAGTGTTTCTGGTGACTGAAAATTTCCGGCCTTAGCCGACGCTTTAACTACTACGTCGTCAATACCACCCAAGGTACAAGAAACTGCTTCAACTCCCGTAATTTTGCAACGATTTAACAATGCTACCTTTTCATAATAATATTTTGAGTAATTCTCATCGAATCGCTTTCTTCGTTTAATCATTTCAGTTAATACTTCGTAGTAATCACGCGTAGATGGGAACGCTAATAAAATTTTCTTTTTCCACTCAGCCCAAGAATATTTTGTCGTACTTAACCCTTTGTACCAAACTTCCGCTAAACCGCGAAGTTTAGATAAAGTATAGTATATAGTCGCTTCTTCAGACCATCGAAAAACTTCCCGCAATTCTTCGATCTTGTTAAGCCAAATTTCTGAATTGATTTCTTTGTCTTCAGGATTAAATATAGGAACAACTTCCCCATTAGCCGCCCCAAAATTCGAAGTGTTATAATCTCGATTTCGTAATAAATTTGACATAATAACTGCCAAACGATCAGTTGGGTCATTTATCTCAGACGACGCAGTACTATTACCTGCTTCAGGAACGACCTCGAGTGTCTGCACATTCGAGGGTTCAGCTGTTTGTTTTCTTTTTTGTCCTCTACCCATTACGATAGAATGTAGATAACTAATTTACGAAGAAACATAAATATCTTATAACTTTCGTTAATTATGACTCGTCATGAAACCTTGACCATTCTGAACACCCTGTATCTGTTAGTTTTACGAGTTAACGACCCCACACCTGAATTTGTAAGGGGGAGAGAAGATAGACACGCTGGTAGATAAATGCTTGCACTTGTAATAAGTAAATAAATAAATAAACTGTATCTTTCTTACATAAGTGATTTAGTATACATCAAAGTATTTATATNTTTTTTTGCCTAAATTTTACAATACGTCACTGCTTACAGGCACAATGCACCTAATTCTAATTAGGTACAATTTTTTGTAAACGAATGTTTTCACTTTAGCTTTGAAATATATTGTTCTTCGGATCATTTTAAGCAGACAGTTTAGGAAGCATGTAGAAGAATGTAAGTTAATACATCTAATTTTTCGGATAACTTTAAGAAATTGAATTTGTTTAGTTTGAAACACTATATGTTAACATTCAGGATACATTTACCTGCCTTTTCCTTTAAGCCTTAATCTGGAAATTTAAATATTAACAATATTATTGGTGTACCCAAATATCGTATGCAGGTAATTTAGGTATAAGTTTAGTGTATCGACTCTTTGCAGGTAACAATATCTTCAAAATAGTTGTAGACAGGCTTAAACTTATATACAATTATTCAAATAATATTTGAAAACTAATTAGTTACCATCTTCACCCCTTCCTCTGTCAGGATAGAAATTGTGTTCATATATACATTGATACAATTCATAGCACTTCATAACAATTTCATATCAATTCATTATCAAATCATAAAGTTCAGCATTTTAGTTGTAAATATCTGCCTAAGGGTCCTCAATATATGTACACATTTTGTAGCAGTAACTGTATAAAGTATAAATAAATATTACTAAGTGCAGTTAC